TTGAACTAGATATAATAGCTAAGAGCATTTTATTTTAATTTTTTCTTGAAAGCAGGTTAACATGAAATTTAATGTATGCGATCATCTCAATGAGGCACACCTAAAAAATATTAAAAAATATTTTTATAAAAATCAAATAACTAAACTACTCTTAAAACTTTCAGAGATATTTTGGTTATTTTATTTTATTGAAAACATTTTTTAAATACGCCTATGAGAGGACTGGACGCTTCAAATTTGGTGTCAATATGATTTGTATAAAAAAGTAAAAATAAAATAGTGTTTAGGCGTGACATTGTGATGGAGCCCTATCTCAACCATCCATTCAAATCAGATGGTTAGGAAAGAGGAGGCAACAAGTGGGGTTGGGTCTGGTTCCAGCTCCACTCAGACCGAAAAAATTATTATGGGACCGGGACCTAAACCTCGACCTGACCAGACCTGAAGTTACCTAACCCGGACCCAAAAATATAATATGGGACCCAGACCTCTCCACAAGTGATGGGACTTGGACCCGACCCACCAGGTCCGATTTTTGGATGCATACCCAGACCTAGGTCGGGTCCGGTCCCGTGTCAGGTCTAGGTCCATTGCTCACCTATTACCATGCAGTCCTTTGTCTATCTAAGGTCCATCTCTAACATGTATCGTCGGAAAATATTACAGTCTAAATCGATGGTAAAGAAATGAATTAAAAAAATAACATCACATTTAAAAAAATATAAATTCCAAATTTAGCCATTATCATGGTTGAGATAATCGAATCCTAAAACTTTGGATAAAAGATATGTATTTCGGATATACTTTATAGGGAGAGTGCACAAAAATAGTATGAGTCGGCGGACTCACCAAACATCTTTCCTATATAAATTCCCTGTGCCAAGTAGTATTCAGGAAGCTTTTCCCCTATTTAAAACCAAGTATTTCCTCTCTCTCTCTCTTCTCTCTCTCTACATCTGTCTTACGTGTGATTTAAGGGGGGAAGCAGGGGTTTGAGCTCAGGAGCACACAGAGCCACCAATCGCAGTAAAACAAATCTCAAAAATGCAAAAACTACTAAAATAAGTGGTAACGACATCAACAGTGCCCTGCTTCCCACGTGCGAGCCCCTGACCTCCAGCCCTAATATTTTATTTCCCGTCGGGGGTATTTTAGTCATTTTGTTAAACTGAGTCGTTTGGAGACGGTGTCACGCCTTGTCGCCTGAATAAGGCTCATGAGACACGTGGAGGGATTTTATTGGCCTACCATCTTGTTACGTCTACCTCGGACAGCCGTTAAATACCCACAAAATAATCACGCTATCTCGCACGTGTGAAGATTGGGATGTTCCACGTTTTCGAATGTTGGTCGTTGGATGTGAAGGAGTTCTGGATCTGGACCGTCAATAAAGTGGGGAATATAAGTGGGGGACCCACAGTGAGTGGTTTTAGTCACTTAAGGATCACTGCAACTGAACGCGTACGCATTTGGCTCTTGTCAGAACGTAATAAACATAAATGACCCAGTAGCTCCTCCCCATTTTCTAAATGACAAAGATGCACCACGTTTTCACCTTTCTAAAATCTTTTTTTAAAGGATATTATATTATGGGATTGTATACAATACCATTCACCTTTAACATAAGGTAATCATAATTCTTTACAATCATTTGTTGTGAAATTTGATAGTTTGGATGCGTCTCAAAGTTGAGAAAGTTTCATTTGAAGTTTGAGCTTGATCATTGGAATAATTGCAGCCACTCAATTTCACATCCAATGGTCAAGATTATTGTGACCACCTTGTAGTGAGCATAAATGGTCTCATTTTATACTTTTCCTTATATTATAATGCTATCTTTCATTATTACAATGAGGTCTCAGACACTCTTAATCATTAGATATTAAATTGGATGGGTTAGGATGTGTCATGAAATTCGAGATTTTTTTAAAAAAAATTTTAGATCTAATCAATAACATACTTATAACCACCTTGATAAAGAAAAGTGAATGTAACCTCCTAATATTAAGAATAAATAGTCTCTTTATGTACTTTTCTCCTTTTTAAAGACAAATGGGATCTTAAATCGCTTTGCAACCTCGTACGATTGAAAGTAAGGTGTAAACCTCAAAATTTCTCTAAAAGAGAGAATTTCGATACGACTAATTGATTATTTAGACCTTAAGATGTGTGAATATTAAGAAGAAAATAGAATTTAAAGTCAAAAAAATAATGCATTTCGTAATAAGTTATTTAGACCGTTTTATCTTAATATTTTCAAATTTTTAAAATCGGCTCCATTTATGTTATTTTTAAAATTTTAAATTTTATAATTAGAGATGAAAGTAGACTTTTAAGTCATCTTATAGTTTCCAACACTTGAAGCAAAATTTAATGGTGTGCCCTATACAATAAGGCACCTTATACAAAGTTCACCTTTTTGGAGTCGGACATAGATACAAAATAAAATAAAAAATTTACAAATCAATTGAATTACGCAATTTAATTATGAGATTTCTATACTTCTCCTATTGCATAGAAGATATATATTTTCCACCCCATCCAATCGTTCAATTTAGATCAAGTGAGCCACTGACCATTTGATCTAGATCCAACGCCTCAAAGTGTTTTATTTTGGGTACGGTTTTTATAAGGTTGCAACCTTAAACAATCCAATTAAGGGGCACATTAAAATTTTATAATAATATGTAATTTTATTGTAAAAAATTCTTAGTATATCTTAAAATCTATTTTCATACCTAATTAGAAAATTTTAAAATCCAAAAATGGTTAAAATCAAGTAGATCTATAAATATATAAAAATCTTGAAAATGGATGCTCTAGATAATGTGTTGCAAGATGACTATTTTCGGAACTCAAAAACATTTTTTTTTTTCATATTCATACATCTTGATGTCGAGATGATCGATTATAGGGTTTTTACAGCATTAAAAAAATATTTCCGATAGATTTTTTAGATGCATCTATTATTCTACATTTTAAGGTTGCAACCTTATTAAAACTTTTCTTTTTTATTTTTAGTTTTTTTTTACAAATTATATGAATATAAAATTTAGTACGTATTATCACCTCAATGGGATGTACCTAAAGAAAATATTAAAAAAAAAATAATAAAATATAATATCCAAAATACGAATTAAAACTTTCAAAAATATTTTGGTTATTTTTATTAAAAATTTTATTTTATATTTTTATAAATGTGAGTTTTAGGGAGGAGTGAACGCTTAAAGAAAGGCGCTAGGGGCTTATTGTTAATTTCAGAGAGAGAAAGGGTGGTCATTTAGAGAAGGATAGGGTGATATGGACATGTCCTAAAATGGAATAAGATGTTTGGGACAATTTCGGCTTTCGCTTTCGCATCAAATCATTCCAACAAATAAAACAAGCAAAGCAAAAATAACAACAATAAAAACACTGGAAAAAAAAAATGGCAGCCACTTCATTTGCCAAAGCTACGCAAAGTGCTAAATTCTGCTAAATGTTTATGCTCTCTCTCTCTCTCTCTCTCTCTCTACGT